GAACTTTGGTATTATCTTTAATCTTAATCTATCCTTTCTCCCATATCCTATCATTCACCAAATTACATTAATTGTGCTTCTGCAATGTCTCTTAAATCTGTTCCCCATCTCTTGATTCCCATTACCATTGGGCCCCCCATTTGCCCTGTTTCCCATACTTGAAGCATTGGTGTTGTCTTTAATCTTCCATATCCAATCCCTCTCCTCTGCTCCTTCGTTTTCTTGCCCTGGTGATTTTGCTCACACCATTCCCTATGTCTGAAATGTCCACCCTTTCTCTTATTTGTGTGATGAATTCCTACCCATCCTGTAAATTAAATTTCAAATAAAAAGAATCCTTTCCAGATTGCTTCACCCTTTGTTTTCACTACTTAGTCCACCAGTAGAACCTAATTTGGCAAATGAGTAGTTATTAGGTGCCTACTATGTGTTAGACATCTTGGATAAAAAGACTAAATAAAGACTCCACAAAAGCAGGGAATATGGTTTACCTTAACTGCATGTCTTCCATGGCACTTAACACAGTGTTAGACAAATGGCAGGTCCTTCAGAAATATTTGTTGAATTGACTGGCCTTCAAGTTCCTCCACTAACTCCTGTTCTGTCAAAGAGGAGTCAAGATATATCAGTCATACATCATGATTGTCACATAGTCATCTAGTTGTAACCTCGATTGTTTTGTTTTCCTTTAGAGGTGGTTCTTAGGAACAAGTATATCAACAGAAATCTCTGGAACTTCAAAGTTGGCAGAAGAATCTATGAAATGATTTAAAAGGTCTTACATCCCTGTTCACATTTTTTTAAAAAAAAGTATTCAGGAAACTTTGAGTTATTTTTCTAGAGAAGATTGCATGCCATAATTTAAGAAGTTGGAAGACAGTTTGAGAAATTAGCCAAATCCCAGTGTCAATAGATGTTTTAGGCTTTTGACTAATTGGTTTGGGGGGCAGCCCACTTTCTTGTAAACTGCAGACATTAGCTTTTATTGATGCATGCTCTCCAAATGAGGCAGCAACATTCCTTTCAACTTACTGCTGTATAATCATTTTAAAGTCCATAATATAGCCACATCTGCTACTACTGACAGTTTGAAACAGGTTGTTGTATGCCTCAGACTCCAATTAAAGCACACCTTAGGTTTGAAGGAAGACCCATGAAATCATAGGATATGTATTTATATATATTCTAGAATCCTATTGTCTTTTTTCTTTTTCAATATTAAATGGATTTTATACAAGTGTTCCTAACTTTGTGCAATAGGTGTTTTCCTGAAAAGTTTGCTAAAACAAAGCATTTTTTAAAAATGTGAATAATCCACTTTAAACATATCTGTTTTGTGGACCCAGATTTTTGAAACATATGTATGTGTGTGTGTGTGTGTGTGTGTGTGTATGCACACACATATATTTGCTTAAAAGCGTTTAGTGAATAAGCTTAATTTGTTGAACATAATCTAAATGTAGATTCTTTGAAGAGCACTTTTAAAAAAATGTCAATCAGTAAATCAATAAGTATTGTTAAATGTCCTAGACTTTGTCCTGGGCCTTTTCCTCTCTATATACCATTTCACTTGTTGGTCTCATTAGCTCATATAGTTGCAGTTATCATCTCTATAAATGATTCTCACATCTAAAAGTGTCCGGCCCTAACTGCTCTCCTGAGATCTCATATGTCTAACTGCTTATTACACATTTCTAACTTGATGTCTCTTAGATATAGCTTAAAGTGAACATGTCCCAAACAAGAACTTACTACTTTTCTCCCCAAATTGTTTCCTCTTCCCAACTTACTATTAATGTTGAGGGTACCACCGTTGTCCATGTTACCCAGACCCACAAGCTCAGTGTCATCCTTGACTCTTCACTCTCTCTCACACACTCTCAATTTGCCAAGTGTTTTTGTTTCTACCTTCATAACGTTTCATGTATATGTCTCCTTGTCTCCTCTGATACTGCAGCTGTGTTGGTGCAGACCTTCATCACCCCTACGTAGACTATTTCAATAGCCTACTAGTTGGCTTTCCTGCCACAAGTCTCTTCCCCCTCTAATCTATACTCTATCCCGTTGTCAAATTGATCTTCCCAAAGGTCAAGTCTGACCATATCAACCCCCCACCATTTAATTAATTCCAGGGGCTCCCTATTGCCTCCAAGATAAGATACAAAACCCTTTGGCTTTTAAAGCCCTTCATAATCTGGCCTCTTCCCACTTTTCTAGTCTTTTTACACCTCACTCCTTTCCACATATTCTATGATCCAGTGACACTGACCTCCTTACTGATCCCCCCACACAAAACTCCATTTCCCAATTTGGCCTGTCCCCCACACCTGCAATGTTCCCTGTCCTCGTCTCCACCTCCTCGCTTCACTGGCTTTTTTCCTTCACATCCCTGCTAAAATGTCACCTATTGCAAGAAGCCTGTCCATGTCCCCGCTTACTCTTAGTGCCTTCCTTCTGAGACAGCCCTCTAGGTATCCTGTAGATATCTTGTTAAAACAGAGTTGTTTTCATGTTGTCTCTCTAGAACTTAGCATAGGGACGGGCATGTGGTAGGGCCTTGATTAAAGGTATCTGACCAATTGACTAAAATGTACCAAATACTCCAGGAGATAGAAGGACAAGCAAAACTGTCTCTGCTCTTGAAGAACTTCGAATCTAACGGGGCGAGAGAGTTTGACACATGATGCACATGCATTGGAGAGCATTCCTATTATCATTTGAATCTGCCTTGACATGGGGTGTGTTCTCTCTGCTTATATTTCAAGGCTCTCTGGGTTCCTGATTTTGTCAGAGTGGATGCACCTGCTCCCAACATATTGCAGTTTCTCCACACCTTACTAGACACTCTTCATTATTTGCTGTAGCCAAAAAAAACCCCCAAAACACCAACCAAAACCAAAAAACCCACCATCCAATAGATTACTTTGTATTGATAAATCTCCCTGAATTTAGCTAGGCTTATCGGCACAAAGGAGATTACTGAGATCCTGCTTGAAGCCTTCCTAGCTCATCTGGACTTTGGGATCATACAGTCTATAAACATTCATTACGTGCGTACTATGAGCGAGGAATGGGGAAGGAATCTCAGGGGTCAGCTAGTTCAATCCTGTCTCAGACACTTACTAGCTGTGTGACCCTAGGCAAGTCACTTAAACTCTCTGTTCTTTTCTTATCTGTAAAATGAGAGAATTGGACTTCATAGCCTGTTGGTTCCATTTCAGCTCTATATCTGTGATTCTATTATAAATTGGTGTACCAGATCTCTAAGATGTAATTACTGTCTCAGTTTCTAAGCGAACTGAAATATTTGATAGTACCCATGTAAAGGGACAGCTACTGTGGTGCAGTGGATAGAGTGCCGGACCTGGAGATAGGAAGACCTGGGTTCAAATTAAGCCTCAGACACTTACTAGCTGTGTGACCTTGAAGTCACTTAATCTTGTTTGCCTCAGTTTCCTCATTTGCAAAATGAGCTGGAGAAGGAAATGGCAAATATTCTATTTGCCTATTTGCCAAGTGTTTTTGTTTCTACCTTCATAACATTTCATGTATATGTCTCCTCTCCTCTATTATCTTTGCCAAGAAAATCCCAGATGAGGTCATGAAGAGTTAGTCATGACTGAAATGACTGAATGACAACAATTCATGTAAAGAGGTTTACAGTAGTAGGTTCTAACTTTACAGAGAGGGAAAGGCAGAGCTGTCACCTAACAGGTTTTGGACCATGCCATCACTTAAGAATCATTCCTACCATTTTTTTTTAAGGCAATTGGGGTTAAGTGACTTGCCCAGGGTCACACAGCTAGTAAGTGTCAGCTGTTTTGGTCTGAGGCCAGATTTGAACTCAGGTACTCCTGACTTCAGGGCCAGTGCTTTATCCACTGCACCACCTAGTTGCCCCTACACTCCTACCGTTTTTGAAGACAGTAACCACCCCAAGGGAGTCTGTATTGTCTCTTGAGGGTAATTGTCCTTTGCTGCCTGTGAAGGGTAAGAACCCTGAGCATTTTCTGCCATTAATATTTAGCAGAAAATTGCAAAGCTACTCAAAGAATATCAAGTATCTATATATACTACACTTGCATTTACATATACACACACATATATATATATACACACATGTTTCATAATTTTCTATAAGTTTCAGCCTTGCCACCCTTTAAAATAAGGTGGCCACATGAAAACATTTTAGGAGTAAGAAAGCAAGTCTTTCAGATTCTCCCATCCCCCCCCCCAATTTGAGGTATATCACCTCTTCTTGCTTTGCAACCACCAAAGTGGCAGCAGTTGCTTCTAAGCTTGCTACTTCAGCCAGCTTAGGGTGTGATTTCACTCTTGCTCAGTGTAGCTGACCCCCTTCTGAGGGTGACTCTGCATATTCCTGCTCCCAGCTCTAAACATGTTTGTCTGCTTTGCAGTTGCCTTTTCAGAACTGGGTGCAGGCTGAGTGACAAGTTGAAATACTTTTGTATAGAATATAGTGTTGAAATATAAACTAGCAAAGCCACAGGATGACTGTGTAGAGCCTGCTTTGTTCTGTTGTAAACTTTGACTAATCTGTGATCATTAACCTGAGTTCTTACCTTAGGATTTGCCTTATAATAAGCTGAATCTCTTTTCCCAGTATAATTATTTCACATATACATACATATGAAAGAATGGGGGTGAGGTGCAAATTCCACAAATAAATGCTTGTTCAATGTAAAGACATCAGAAAACAAGAAATGTTGAGATTTAAAATTGCATAATTTTCCCTGCAGTATATTTCCTAGCATTTAGTCTAGTCAAAATATTTTCCCTTGCAGCATTGCTACCTTTTAAAGTTACCCAGATGCCTTGCTAAAAAGTCTACATTCTAAAATTATATCCGCAATAAAACACATATTCTCTGCCCTGGTTTTCATGCAAATGAAAAGAACAAACCCCTTGGATTCTCTTATGAATCTGAAAATTTAATATTCTTCTCATTGTCCTATTCTGCTGAATGTTTTCCTTTGCAGGGTTCAGCGGATTCCTATACAAGTAGACCGTCTGATTCAGATGTATCATTGGAAGAGGATAGAGAAGCAATTCGTCAGGAAAGAGAACAGCAGGCAGCTATTCAACTTGAAAGGGCAAAGGTGATTTTTTTTTTCTCTTTTGTTCAGACATGACTGGTTGCTTAGTGGGGCCTGGCTATGAATGCCTTGTCTCAACCTTCCAGGTTTCTAGTGATGAGCATCTTGTTGGCATCCAAATAAAGCATCTGATTATAGCCCTATAGGATCCCTTCCCCCTGAAAGAGATGAATAATGCCCTTGGTAAGAGATCATTTCCTGAAGTATCAGCCCTTCTTCCCTTTATATGCAGCTTTTCTGTGTTCCCTTTGTGAAGTGCCAGTCACCTGCAAACTGGCCACCCAAGCTGGTTTCAGCCAGAATCAAGCTTGCTCCTCCTGGTCTTCAAGCACACTGAGAAGCATGAAGCTATTCTAGGGGCAATTAGAAGTGAACTCTGTTCTTTTTCCCTTCCCTCTCCATTAGACTAGCTGGTATAGCAGGTTAGATCTGAGACATTCTTGGTTTCTCTATTTGCATCTTTAGGTCTTTTCATGTAATTTCCTTCTCCCATCTCATCCCATATCTGTGAGAAACATTAATTTCTCACAGATATAAGTAAAGACCTGAAACGAGTACAGCCATGATCAGGGAGCAGGTGCAGGAAATACAAGAGTTACAGAATGTTGTTGAATGTCAGACCTTCCCATACCTCAGAAAGAGAGAGTCCCTGAGGCTCACTTCTATTTATAGTAGCTGCCAGGAGCTATTTACCTACAGGATTTCTCCTCATCTCTCCACTTTAGCAGTAAAATATCTGATGAAAAGGGCAATGGAGGAGAATTAGGCAGGTAAATGTGGTAAGCATATCTGCTTCATCAGCTGAAAAAAGTTGAAAAAAGGTGAAAAAAAGGTATAGGTGCTCGGCATCTTCATGAGGGAGGAGACAATGAGAGAATGTATGCAATTCTTGTATAATCAGCTGCTATCTAGCCGGATTGTCCAGTGGCAATCATGGGTGCTAGCATAATAACATAGGTCCTATGAGGACCAATTTGTTCATTCCATGGCTTTGTAGTTTTTTTCAAGGTCTGATATGTTTTAATTATGGTTGCCCAAATGTAGGTTGTTACAGAAAATGACTTATATATGGAGGATTCTGGAATAATGATTTTGGAATAACCAAGAGATGCATAGCATACTTTGTCTTTGGTCCTCTAAAATCAAGGTTGATCTTTGCATTGGTCACAGTTCTTTAGTCTTTCAAAGCTGGCATTTGATTTCCAGAGTAGGACTTGTCAATAACTTTATACACATTCAGGGATACCCTGGGAAATACTTTAGATGACTTTCACCATGCCTTGCCCTGAATCCTTAGCGTTTTTGAGATTTATTACATATTTCCTATTCATTTTCATTGTAAACTCCCCAGACTTCCTGAATTTCCAGAATACCTGAGAATATAAAATCCTTTTGGGATTTCTCTCTGGGTGTTGATTTACACTCATATCCAGCCAGATCACAGAAGAAAACATTTCAGTTTGAAAAGTTTCAACTTATAGTACCTTTCTTTCTTCCTTTTTTCACTTGTTTCTTTCCCCAGTCGAAACCTGTAGCATTTGCTGTGAAAACGAATGTGAGTTATTGTGGAGCTCTAGATGAAGACGTCCCTGTTCCGAGCACTGCCATCTCCTTTGACGCCAAGGACTTCCTGCACATTAAAGAGGTAAATATAAAACACCTTATTCTCTTTCCTACTAAAAGCCCAAACCTAAGAGTGAGATCTGAGCCAGACTAATATGAGAGAAAATCTGATTACTCACAACGTGACATATTATTGTGTTATGCGGCAACCTGAGCTCATTTAACTTCTATTAAATTTAGTGTCATGAAATCATAGAGATTGTATTATTAAAAAAGTTTAGCTACTAATTTGCTGTCATTCCTTAAAAGCATGTATTGGGGAGAAAACCAGGTTATCCTCTGGTAATTGAGCAATCAGTGTGGATGGATTACTGGGCTCTGGGAATTAAACTCAAACAAATGTCAGTCCACTAGCAGATTAACCTTATGGGGAGCATTTTCTCCCAAAGAAAGCATATCTGTTGCAATCTTTATTGTGAATTCACTGGGAACTTGGAACTCAGTCAATGAGTGTGATCAAACAAAGGTGCTAAAGTTGAGAAAGGGAAGAAAATACAATTATCCCTTCCACATCACGACTTTCCCCATTATGGTTTCAATATATCATGAGTCAGCATAAGAAATTAAATGGAAATTTTGGAGAAGTTTTGCAGAAGCTGCAGATGACACACAAAGGCTAGCAGACGACAGAGAGCCCATGACCAAATGCTCAACCCAAATTTTATAATAAGGTACTGTAAATACCTCATAAAAGAAAAAAAAATCAGACCTCTCTGGTATGAAAGAAGGCCCAAAAATTTTATGAGGATTTTCCAGATTGTGGGGACACTGCACCCCTATGTGGAAGGGATAACTATAGCTGGGAAATATGGGCAATAAAAGCAAACTTTCAGAATCTTAGGGCTTAGTATAAACGTTTGGGGAAAGGAGGTCAAGGAGACAAAAATGCATGCAGAATAGTGCCTGAGAAGGACAAATATAAATATAAGATGCCACAATATTGTCAAGTGTGCCACAGTAAAACAAAACCATCTAAAATTTAAATATATTGACCTGCTTTCATTTATCAAATTCAAAAGATGTTTCCCTTCATTTGTCTTTTTTTTTTTAAATATGAAAGTTTTCATGTCAGGACCTAAACTGAAGAACATTTATAGATTCTATTCCTTCCCTATCCACTCACCAGTATGACCACCTGTCAGTTTACCTTCCATGCACTACTGGAATTTCCTAACAATTTCGTGAATATACCATGAGGATTTCTGTTCTAAAATTAAGGGTTGTGCTAGAGCCAGCTCATACTGGGTGACAGAGCTTGTTGTTAAATTTTCAGTGTGAGCATTTACTCCTTAGAAATTGGTAAATCCTACAAATCAGGGCTTCATTTATCATTTTGTTGATTGTCTAGACTTTAGAAAGTGATAGAAAAAATATGCAGTTTAAACTTAAAACATATCATGTGTACATATTTCTTTTCTGAAGGGATGGTTATTAAATATTTACCATTACACTCCTGGTCAGAATATTGGTACTATTTGTAATGTAGGTGAGAGCAGTGTGGTATCATGGATTATGAGCCTACCTTAGAGCCAGGAAGACATGGATTCAAGTTTCATGTCTGACACACACTGGATATGTGACCCTGGGCAAATTGCTTAATGGCTCAGTGACCTGGGCAACTCACTGGAACTCTAAGATACAAAGTAGGTACAAATCTTTACTGATAGGGGGAGTTTCCTTTTTGGTAATTCCTTATTTCAATGAAGATATAGGGCTGGTCCAAAAAAGCCTGTGATGCCATATATGGTGTACATATATGACACCAAAATGTCTAGACTGTTACAAATAGACAAATGTCTTATGCTCTATAGACCAATGGCTGACTGTCTTTAGATATACATGCATTTAGGCACTAGAAGTGTGGTGTAGAGGAAAGAACACTAGTGTCAAAAGACCTGTATTTAAAACCCAGCCCTGACTTGTAAAGCTGTGTAATTCTGAGCGAGTCATCTAACTTTTCTAACCATCCATGTCCTCATCTGTAAAATGGGGATAGAGAATACTTGCACTGACTACCCCACAGCTATTTTGAGTCGCATACTCTATAAACCTTTAAGTGCCATGGGTATGCAAGTTGCTGTTGTTATTATTGTTATCATGACGCAGCCTACATGATCATCAGGCATGAAAAGAAACTCCCCAGTGACTTTCCCAGTAGCTTTCTCAGTTAATTTTATAGAACATAGCCATATGGGAGTTGCACTTCTCTTTGGTTAATGATACTTAACCACAGTTGTAGGCTGATTGTTACTGTAAATACAGATATGGATTGTGAAGTGGGTTATAATTGTGTACCACATGCACCTTTACAAACAATGTCTTATTGCCATTTTACTGTCCTAACAATAGGTCTTTGCAATTAAAGCCATGTCAGTGGTTCAGTAGCAATTCCCCACACTGCAAGATTTATGCAAGGTCTTTCTTCTCGGATGGCTCTGTCAGCATCCTTTTGGTTCTCTGCTTCTTCCTGCTCCAGCTTACCCCAAGTACTCTGTGCTTTTTTCTCTTGGAGTCTCCCTTTCTTACTTTTTCTTACACCTTACTTCCCTCCACATTCACAGTGACACTGACCTCCTTGCTGTTCCTCACTCATCAATACCCCATTTCCCAAATGAACATTTCCAGTGGCTGTCCTTTCATGACTAGAATGGGCCCCCTCTTCATATCTACCTCCTGACTTTCCTGGCTTCCTTTAAGTATCATCTAAAGTCCCACTTTCTGCAAGACCGTATCTTAAAAAGGCCAAGTCCCCCACTGCCTCCTGGGCCATCTCCATCATCCTGATCTGTATCTTGCCACTGGGCCCAGATGGCTCCAGAGGAGAAAGTAAGGCTGGCAACTTTGCATAGCCCTCCCTCACTTAAATCCAATTCACTCGCATGCCATGCCATCACCTCCCTGATGTCATGGTCTTCTAAAATGAAGGACAAACAACAACAAAGTCTTACTTTCTGCAAGAAACTTTTCCCCATCCTCCTTAATCTCATTGTCTTCTCTCTGAGACTATCTTCAATGTATCCTCTATGTGTCTCATTTGTAAATAGCTGTTTGCATGTTGTCTACCCTCTTTTAGTTTGGGAGATTCTTGAGAATAGGGACTATATTTTGCCTTTCTTTGTTTCTCCAGTGCTTAGCACAGTGCCTAGCACATAATAAGCTGGCCCCAACAACATAATGACCTCTACTTGCCGTGGGATATTTCAGACCATTTTAGAATAAAGTTAGTAAATTTACTGTAGTCCAAAGTACCAGTCCCCTGAGTGAAAGTGTTGGGGAGAATTCTCAGCCACTGTCTTTCCTTTTTTGCAAAAATATCTTCATTATTATTCATTATTTTTATCTTCACTATTATGTCTTTTATAAAAACCCAGTTTCCTTATAAGATTTTTTAAAAAACTATTTATGTATTTAAATCCTGGGAACTTCAATTTTGTGGTTGGGGATAGGGATTATAGAAAATTGAGGGGGGCCAAAATTCTATGAACACAAGTAAGTAATCCAGATTCTGAAAGGAGAGTAATAACCAATTGATAAAGTGAAATGCACTTCAATAGGTATAGAATAGAATAGATATTCAATAGGCATAGAATAATAGATCCAATAGGTATTAAAATCTCCCATGGATATACCATACCTCCCTTGAAACAACAGCAGCATAACACAAACCATAATGCCAATACTTGTCCCTAACACCAGCCTTATAAGCAAGTAGTACTGTATCACATTCAGATTTGTACTTTGCCCTGTTACTTTTTCTGTAGAAGTGCTTAATTTGTCTACATCACTAGAATTATACGTTATTTGTCCGTCTTTAATTAAAAAATTCAAAAAACCCCCCATCTTTTCTTCCACCATTAGAATTTGGTATCTAAATGAGTTGGGGCACAGTATACGCCCAATTCAGAAAACATCACCTAATGCAGAATAATTCTGTGTAGAGCAACAAAGGGCTACTTTTGATTAGCCCTTTGGTATATAACATGCCCCACTAACCAAATAATAAAAGTGGTCTTGCTTTGCACCGTGTCCTAAGAGGGCATTCCCAACAAAATAGCATCCAGACCTTATTAGCTAACCCCTTAAAATATACCCAATATCTAAAGTTATCTTCTAGCGTTTTCAGGATTACAGTTGGGTCATCCCTTTCTTTGTTACTTTTTATGGGTTCTTCTATCTCATCAATATCCTTTAAGGCAGAGATGTCAAAAGTGATGCCTGCTGGCCAAATCTCCCAAGTGTGCCAGAACCAGATTAAAATGTAATTGGGAAATATTTAACAAGATAAATAAAAATACAATAGATTATATATAATGTTGATACGTGGTTTTATAAGTCAATATGTGGCCCACAGGGATCCTTATATACTGTTTAGTGCTTCTCCCTTGCCCCCTTTCTATTTGAGTTTGACAATATTGTTTTAAGTATCCTGTAGGTTATGGGTTATTTTTGTTTGTTTGTAGTTGGGAGCAATGTTCTTGTTCTACTTTTTGATCTTAGGTGGCTAACATTGACTGGTTAATCCCATGGGAATTATGGCTACTTGTTTTCAGATCTTGAAACACTAGATAAAAAAAAAGAGAGAGACTCAAAGTCTAGGGGATTAGAACAGAACTAAGGTGACCTTGTGAGAAAACTGGGTTGTGCTACAGAATGTCAGCAGAAATGGCTAGGTGTTGCTAACGAAGGTGCCTCCTACTCCTCTCATCCATCTCTCCAAAGGCCATTCATTACGTGTCTTCCAAAGTACTACTAATAGGGACTGTCAGGGATGACACATATTGAAGTCTGATTCTCCCAGTGTTGGAGCTATTCTCTGGAATTAAACTAAGCATTTTGAGGAATTGCATAGTCTTTTGGGATACCAGTGCCCCCTTAGGGCCACCAAGGTACCATTTACTAAATTACTGCTTTGCTGAACTAACTTACTCACAGGAAATTGTTTTAGCCCTAGGAGAATATGAGTCATCATCACTTTTGTCCTCACAACAATAGTCAGCTTAAAATCTAGCCACCCAAGCAAAAATTTCTGGAAGGGACTCCTTCCTTGTTAATTTAAAATAAACATAACTAGTTCCCTTTAATGCAAAGGCAACTGCTGAGAGTAGATTAGATTTAGGGTGTCTACAGTTGTCTACTAAGTCAGAGCCTGAATTAGAAAATGAACTCAGGTTTCCTGAACCCAGCTTAATGTTCGTTTAACATTGCATGCCTGCCCAATTTAGCACCTTGTATCCAATGAGCTTTTAATAAATGTTCATCAGTTATGTAATATACCATTTTTGTTGTTCTTTGGTGAATACTGAGCCAAATTTCTATATTGTGTATCTATATCATTTATGACCTAATACATGAAAATGTTCAAAATAGCATACAATGTTGGCCCAATGAAAGTAATTATTGTATTGGTCCTGTAGAGATAAACAGCTCACTTCCTTTAGCCAGTCCTCATAAAGCATGATCTCAAGGCCTTCACCATCTGATTACTCTCCTCTAAATGGTTCTATGTTATTAGTACCTCTCCTAAAATGTAATGTGAAGAAACAAACACCATACTCCAGATGCAGTCCAACCAGAGCAGAGTACAGTGGAACTAATACATCCCTAGTCCTAGATATTTCATTATTCCATTAGCTTTTAAAGTTGTCATATCATATTTATATTAATACTGTATTCAGATTAATTGCTCTCTAGATATGCCTCTCTATATGATGCTGTCACTGTAAGACTGAAGATTTTTAAAAATTAACTCAAGTATAAGACTTTATATTTGCCCATATTAAATTTCATTTCAGTGTCTGACACATAGCAGATGTTTAATAAGTACTGATTGATTGACTGATTGATTGATCTTGATAGATTAAGCCCAGTGTTCTAGGTTGTCAAGATCTATTTGGATTCTGACTCTGTTATTTAATATATTACCTATCCCTCTATCTTTTTGTCATCTGCATATTTGACAAGCTTACCTTTATCCTTGTCATTGACTAGAATGTTAAGGAGTACTCAACTAAACACCAATCCCTAGGCTATTTGACTGAAAAATATACTTCTAATTCAACATTGACATCTTACTGGATTTTTGGGTCCAGTTGTTCAATTAGTTCTAAATTCACCCAACTTTATTATTGGCAAACCCATCTGTCCATCTCTTCCACAAGAGCAGAATGATAGATTTGGCCAAATATAGGAAAATTCTGTGCATATTCTGTGAATTTTCTAAAATAAAAATAGATAATTATATTTTAATAGAATTTGTTTCCTTTATAATCCTGTGTATTTGCTTTTTTACATTTAAAAACATGATTATGAGGAGTCCCTAAGCTTTGCAACAACACCAAAGGGTCCCATGGCACCAAAATGGTTACAAACCCCTGGTCTGGAGCATTTGTCTGGTGTAACAATCTAGTAACCAAGATTTTCAAAAACAAAAAATGACATTAGTTATTATGGCGTGTTTATGAAGTCATGCTAGCTCTTTGGGGTTGTTGAATCTTTAGATAAACTCCTAAAAAAAATCAGACCTGTAGGTTCATAGGTGGTAGAGGCCTCCTGGCAAGGTGCTTCCCATACCAATTTGTCACAATAGTGTTTATAGAGCCTTGCATTATCTCTTTGGATCCCCACAATGATCCTGTAAGGTAAGTGCTGTTATCCTTACTTTACAGATGAGGAATCTCAGGTGGAGAAAGGTTAAGTGATTTGACCTGGGTCACACAGCTAGTGTCTGAGGCAGGATTCATGCTCCTCTCTTCCCAACTCGAAATCCAGCAGTCTATTCACTCTGACCACTAGCTGCCCAGTGCAAATCAGCATCTTCTTTGCAAGGTTTTGCCTGTAACACTGTGAAGCTAAGTGAGGGCCATGTCCAGGGCTGTACAGACAGGCAGAGGTCAGACTTAAAATCACAATGGCCTGGCTTCTAAAGTGCTACCTCCCTATCCACTGTGCCACATTTCCTCTCTTCCCTTTAATAAGGCACATTCTGTATTTGGCCAGGAATCTAAGTCAAGTTCCTTGGTCTATAGTTTAAGCGCCTTCTCTCCCATTTTTTGAAAATCAAAACATCTCTCCTTTCCCAATCTGGTCTCTGTTCAACATGACCATTCAGACATCACTGAAAATTACTTAGCAGTCAAATCTACCATTTATTTTAGGATCCTTCAGTAAAACTGGGCCTGGTAGCTCGAGTTTATTGAAGGCAACTTGGTAGCCTCTTTCAATCTTCCTGTTTCTCTTGGTTATCAACTCCTTTTTAATCATTTCTGTTCAGAAAACCGTTGTCACAAAATGGATAGAGAATCAGATTTGGAATCATGTAGATCTAATTTCCTCTAAATCCAACATTGACTAGTTCTGAAACCCAAGCAGATCATTTATCCTCTCTTGGACTCAGTTTCCTCATCTGTAAAATGGAGATAATAAGATAATAATAGTGTCATTATAAAGCTTGAATGAGATAATACCTTGAAAATTCTTTACAAATTTTGAAGTGCTTGTTAAATGTTAGTCATCCTTGTTGTTACTCTGCCCTTGCCAATGCAAAGATTTTTCCCTGTGATAGACAAAATGAGCTTATATAGGGTATAAGAGCATAGACTAAAAATACCAATTATAGACCACAGTTAGGTTTTATACCAGCCTGATTTGAAGAAAAAATAAGGCCTGTATTTAGAAAAGTGTGATAGATATTTCCCCCTTTCTCTCTCATCAGCATCTTTGACTTTTATATTTTTACCACTTTGGTGTTTTATAACATCCCTCTGAGCTAAACTAGATTCTCTACATAAATGGTGCCTTTCAGAATATAAACATACTTTTGGAGTAAAAGAGCCTAAGAAAACCTAACACTGAAACGGATAGCTAAGAGAAGTTTTGACCTCTTCCCAGGAGACTCTGGAGACAATAGTATTGATATATATATATATTTCCAGGAATGGTTTGAATGAAGCCTTTGCCAGAGAAACAGAGACACAGAATAACTGGTAATAGCTCAGGGAGTCTATCATTACAAGTCAGCTCTTGCTTTATTAATCAGATAAAGTCATCCACATAACCTTACTCTGTATTGTTTCCTGGGCTTGCATGTTATAAAACTTTGTACAGAATGGAAATACTGTAGATACAGTTAGTCATCAGGTCAACTCTAAGATTGCTATCATCATAAAGATACATAACAAGCTTATACTGTCTACCAGCATATTTTTACTTTGCTTAAAGCAATAAAAATGAACCTCAATTTGTAATTTCATATTTCACAGAGTATATCTCCTACCAAGATTACACATAGTAACACATCATTTTCCCTCTAAATTCTTGAGTAATGAGAGGATGTTCAGGTACCCCATCTCAGATGTGACAATACAATCTTGCCCAAGTCTGATAACATTAGTGTACATTTATCCTTTATCCAAAATTTGTTCCTTAAGAACTGGAAAGGGCATGAACCAGGGGACTCCAGAATTCATGCATCTGACCTTGTACCTGATGCTTGGGCACAGTATATAATTTATTGGTGTTTGAGATTTCTGGGGGAAGAACATGAGGTTAAAAGTGCTAGGGACAGACATGTGATTATAGATGATTGGCAGTTAGGTGGTACATATACTACCACTTTGATTGATTGATAGTAGTTTTGTTTCTGCATTACAGAAATATAACAATGATTGGTGGATAGGACGGCTGGTTAAAGAGGGCTGTGAAATTGGCTTCATTCCAAGTCCACTTAGACTGGAGAATATCCGAATCCAGCAGGAGCAGAAAAGAGGACGCTTTCATGGAGGGTAAGATTCCCTCTCTCCCTTATTCAAACTCTCTTACATTAAAGGAAAATCAGGTGATATTTTTGGATTCAAGGATCAATTTTAAAATGCATAGTGTTTTTTAAACCAAAATTGCTTTGTGAAACCTTATCTTAAAGGGATCCAAACACCTCGACATCCTTAGCACTCTTCCTAAGTATGTGCTAATTATAGTCTGATAACTCCACTGGGGATATTTGAAATTTTGTGACTATGACTATAGCTACATGATCACAGAAAAATTATATATGGTATGAAAAGCTTTATCATTACTTTGTTAAGTGGTGAAGCCCCACTCACCTATTCTACCATTTAAATGAGCCATGGCAAACCACATTGACCAAATGTTGTAGTTCTTTTCCAGCCACCTTTAGATAGTTGGACAAACAGGCAGGACACAGAAAGTAATGGATGGTCAAATAATCTGAGAACACTATTTGTCCACTCAAAGCTTTTCTGGGGTGTCTGAAATGTCTAGCTAAGGAAATGAAGGATTTAGTTAACTTGATGGGAGCCACTCTTTAAAAAAGTACTAGAGGACAAATAGGAATCTTACTTGTAGGACAAATGTTTAAAAGTCTCACAGGAAAGCAAGCAGGTATTAATAGGCTCATGTATATTAAGTTCCAACTCTCACTGAAGCATTGACTGTATGTGTCGCTATTTTTGAATACCTTAAAATAGAATCAATTATCACTCCCTTCTCCACCTATTTCCTCCATCTCCTTCCTCTGCTGGGGCCACCTTTGCTTATTTCAGAAATGTTTCAGTGTTTTTTTGGGATTCCACATTATTGTTTTAACAGTAACTTGATTAGCAAGAAGAAAAATAGAAAAGTCTGAATGAGAAATCATCTGCTTTCTTCCATTGCTGCTTTACTTATTCTTTCTGTTGTGCACCATGATTGTCTTAGGTGATATCATCTAATCCTATCTTAGGGTGAGGAAGAGGAAGCAGGGAAATATATTTTCTGGGATCAGTCAAAATAGTGTCTTATTGTGTACACATAGAAGCACTCTTAGAAATTCATTTTAGTTCAACAAAATTTTAAGTGCTTACCATATTGCATGCCTGATGCTAGACACTGGGGTCACATTGAAAGGTATGGCTCCTGTAGTTTTCATTGACAGATTAAGACATTTTTATTTTACCTATGTTTTGGCACCCTCAGTGGAAATGCTAAACTTTAATTAAACAAAGCATGCTCACACTTGTATACTTATGAGATGGTTGTATTAATCCTAATCACTCACAAAAAACCGAAATGAAATGAGGGGAAATAGAATGATAGGTTACATACTTCTATAACTCTGAAACTGTCTGAGAGCAGGAACCATGCCCTATTTGCCCTGTATTCCACCATCACCTGATGTAGCATTTTGCACATAGGTTATAGGAGTTTCATAATCGTTGTTAAATGATAATGTAACTATATTTTTAAAAAAAAAGTTCTTTTCAAAGGTTAGCTAATGGTCCACTCATTTCAAATAACATTCCTTGCACCAGAATTCCATTACCCAAATAAAAAATCAATTTGGAGACATAATTGAGGTTTGATTGCACAGGATTTGATTGTCGAATTCATTAGAGTTTTAGTCAAATAAAGCATGTCATGTTCTGGCTCTGTCATTAGACAATCTTTGAGGTTTGTGTTACATATATTTTTTGGGGTTTATCCTAGGAAATCAGGTGGAAATTCTTCTTCAAGTCTTGGAGAAATGGTGTCAGGAACATTTCGAGCAACACCCACATCAACTGGTAGGGGTGTTTTTTGAACATTTATTAGAAATTATTCCTTTCCTGAGATTTCAAAATAAATGAAAGTGCTTTTACTAATTCAGAAAAGTTTTAGAAGGCCTGATTTTTTTCTAATGTTTTCTTTTTATTATGTAATTACAGTACGCTTTTTGTTTTTTAACCTAACTTGGCACTAATACCACTAAAAAAGAACAGAACACCACAACTGTGAAATAATCATGAATATCTTATTGATAGCCCAGAGGCAGGACCTCTGATACCTAAGATTGTCTGAAATAGGTCCTTCCCCTGACTCCAAGTTCAAAAGACTTGGAGCTGTTTAAGACCATTAGAAGAAAGAAATGGAAAGTTGTGTTTTTTTTTAAGAGAAATACTCTCTCTTACCAAGTGCCCAAGTGAAAACTTGAAAATGATCATCATAGCCTAGGGTACCAAGCAGGAGTGGATAAATAGTGAAGGGGCCATCTATTTTCAGGAACCAAACTGATTTCTGGATTTGAAGGGGACAGGATGAGAGGTGGCATGTTGGGGATATATTCATATATTGGGGGAAATCAAGATAGATACACAGGAGTTTTTCTCCTACCCCATTCACCTTCTTCTTCCTATCTGCTGATTCTAGGGGACGGATCAGGGAGGAGAAAGAAGTATTTAAGATTCAGACCCATTAACTCAAAGGGTCCAATTTGGCCTATAGAGAGATCAGCTGATCTCTTTGAAAGACTTCAGGGAGATATAATAGTAGCTAGAATGCCTTTGGTTCTTTTCTCAAGTAAACCTAGACTGACCCCAGGGATCCTGAACCAAAATTGACCCCCATTTCTGAAAGCCAACTTGAATACCTGGCTTAGCCAAAAAACTGCTCAGAATTACTGGAGGTCTTGAAGCTTATGCATTATCAGGGCTGTCCCTGAACTCTCATACACATTATGAATTAGCAGCCCATTTGCCTTCTTGTATGAACAGGAGAGGGTATAAGGTAGCATGCTATTTATATGTTCTGTTTTCCTTTACATTTCATGAAATGGAGAGAATCAGTATAGAAACTGATCACTTTTTCCATGTGGCTCTCATCACAGATTAGTAGACCAAAAGAATTACAAGAGAGAAATTAGTACATTTTCCATCATTTAATATCATCTACTATCATTTACAGACAGTACATATTTTGATATAGTTCTCATTGTTGTCTTTTAGCAAAACAGAAGCAAAAAGTGGTAAGTTGTGTTTCTTTTTTATTAAATTTGTTGTTAAGGCCTGCTTGCCTACTATGTCCATTTTTATTGATCTGATCAGTTGTTAAATGAGGGGTGTTTCCCTCCTCAACAGGAAGCTGTGATGATAATTTAGTGTTGGAACTGGAAAGTGGAAACTTGTGCTACAGTTGAAAAGTTGTTACTCATTTATTTGTCTGGTCACTAATTAAAAAATCATCTCTTTTCAGACGGAGCACATCCCTCCTTATGATGTTGTGCCATCCATGAGGCCGGTTGTATTAGTGGGGCCATCACTGAAAGGTTATGAGGTATAAGTGCCAGTCTGTTGTTTTACCATTCCTCTTCTAGAACATAGAGCACAATCATTTGGGTCTAGGACTTCTGGATATTCAATCCTGTCATCAAACTTTCATTGATTACCATTAACACTCCATTATGTGAGGGCAAATGATCAAATTTGTGTTTTATTAAGGTCCTTTTGCTTCTCTTTCCTGTCTTGCTTGTTTCTTCATTTAACCCTTCAGAAAGACCTCCCAGGGAAAATGAAAGGAGATATACTTGAAGGAAGCTGTTTTGCTAGTCTTTTTGACACCTGTGGTCAAGGATTAAATTGGGAATGGAAAGGATGCATTAATTTACTATTGATGTCATTTACCTGTAAGTGCTTCCTCTCCTGTCACCATAAAGAGCTGAAAATCCATGCATAAGGGAATATATCAACAATCAGCCCGCAGCCCTGAATCATCCTGTAGGAGATACCACCAAAGCACCTTTTGTTAGGTCTTTTGGATTTATTTAGATACTACCTGGGATTATATTTCTCTATTAAAAAATAAGAATATTATACAAATATACTAGCATAATTTTAAAGCAAATTGATCAAATAACATTAGGTTACAAGAGATAAATAAGGACTTTTACTTCATCAGATTTTAGAAAATTGAGTCATTTTGATCCCTCCATTTAGGGGAGGGAGATTGCAAGAGAAATAGTACTCCAAAATGGAAATCTCAAAGTATATAACCCTAAGCACATAGTGCTTACTGGCTTTTTGAAGACAGAAATAAACATCACCATTCTTTTCTCCTATTGCTATTGGGAGGGCTGGGAATTGCTGATGGGGTAGTGCACTGTGGCCTCATGGCTGCCAATGTTTCACTGAATATACACCGCCTTGAAAAAGTCCTGAACTCTTTGTAGGTTTTGAATTTCCCCTAACTATACCCTGCCAAAGAGAAGAATGGCTAGGGTGTTCTGGGCCAGGGCTAGTACCTGTATATAAAAGACACTTCCATGGCTTACCCAATGGCTATGCTCTGGTCCCTGGTAAGGAGTTCTGTTGCAGGTGGCTGCCTTGAGGGTCAGGGATTCTAGAATGATTCATGCCTTCATCTAAATGAGAACCTAGACAAAGGAGAGGCTCTAGGAAAGGAATAAGGGGAAAATTTTCTTTTCTTTGAGCTCAGTAAACATTGCTAGTTTACTCCTATGTGGATGGAAAGAGCCAAGTGGGGAAAAAGGAATAAATGAATATAGTTACACATAAAATGGCTTCCATAGGAGCTTAGCTCTTATTGATTACTAGCCGTGAAAAAGTCTTGGGTTACTGGTAGTGAGTGTCCTTACCTTCTTCTGCCTCTTCTCTCACTTTTGCCTTCTTTCTCTCTCTCTCTGTTCTGTCTTTGTTCTATCTTTCTTACCCCCACAAAGGTGACAGACATGATGCAGAAAGCCCTCTTTGACTTCTTGAAGCACAGGTTTGATGGGAGGTGAGACATAAAGATTTTTTTCTTTTCATTAAACATGTGTGACAGTATGGTTTCTGTTCCTGTATAGTTTCCTTCTAGTACAGAAATGTTATTGTGGTAAGTTCATTTGGTTATCAGAAATAAATAAAAAAATAAAGTAGTTCTGAAGAGTCTGAAACAAGCTTTTCATAGCCAAGAATAAAACAATCCTATGGATATACATGAATGTAATTACTTTTTAAAATGTTTAAATGTTAACGTTTTAAAATTTTTGAAGTTTTTTCTCTTCCTGTCTGTGATATTCTATATGTAGGAAGCATATATGTATATATACAAATATATATGTACATATATACATACATATCCAAATGAGTCTTGTCACCTACAAAACAGTCACCTTAGTAAACTATACACTTATTCCAATCATGCTACTGTAGCTTAAAGTTTTTTTTAACTTTTCCTTAAAAATTGCTTGACAGCACACAATTCTTTTGAATGTCATGGGCAACAAAATATTTTTGGCAAATATGGCTTTCTAAAATAGCTCAAATAATTTGGAGCACAATCTGATGAATATAGTAGATGATCAGACTGGATAGTAATTCATTTTTTAAACCCCCATACGTGGTATGACTATAAAGTAAAGAGTAGTTTTCTTCTATGGCTCGCAAACTGGTTGGTGGAAGGTAATTCCCAAAGAGAAGTTCCAGAAATGTTCTGAACAATGGCAGCATTTTTAAATAAGAACATAACTTCCCAAGGTGACTGCCTTTAAGAGGACCATACTCATTTGAGTGTTTAAATTCTGGTGTATTTTGTTTGTTCATTCTAACACTGTTTGCATTCTCTATGACATTTTTAGCAATATCAGTGAATTTTGAGCACTAAAATATTTGGTTACTTACTAACATGAGAAATAAAAAGACAGACTGTGATAAGGAGAAGGAATAACCGAGGACACTTCATTTTAGAAGGAAGTGACAGATTAGTTCATTTTCAGTTGATTCAAAATACAAAGCTTTTCTTGCACAATGGGATGCACTTCAAGTACAAAGAATCACACAACATTTGGAGAGTTATCAAGAATGGAAATAAATTTAAATGACAAATACAGAGAAGCCTGTGTGGACACTTGTAAGTTGTTAAATAGATTAAATATATTTTTTTAAATAGATCAAAATAAATATTGGCAAAGATGATACTTTAAGGAAATCACTATATGTGATATGATAACTCTTTGACTGCTAGTATGTAAATATTTATAAGGAGAAAATCATTCTGATTGTGCTTAGCACAGTGCCTGGCATCATGTAGTAGGTGCTTTTTTTAAATTTTTTTGGATCATGGCTTTCAAGTACACCTATAATTCTTAAATTATCTCTCCTGGATCTATTTTCCAGTCATTTGTTTACCCAGTGAAGCATTTTACGTTTTCTTCTATTTTTTCATTCTTTTGATTTTGTTTGAGTGATTCTTGCTGTTTCATAGAGTCATTAGCTTCCACTTGCCCAATTCTAATTTTTAACAAATTGTTTTCTTCAGTTAGCTTTTGTGCCTCCTTTTCCATTTTGCCAATTCTATTTTTTAAGGAGCTGTTTTCTTCAATGTGCTTCTTTCCCATATTGTCAATGGTATTTTTAAAGAAATTGTTCAATTTTTCTTCTACCTCTCTTATTTGACTTTTAAAATCCTTCTTGAGCTTTCCAAGAAAGCTTTTTTGGCTTGAGACCAATTCATATTTCCCTTTGAGATTTTGGATGTGTGTGTATTGGCAATGCTGTCCTCTTCTGAATTTGTGTTTTGATCTTCCCTGTTCCCATAATAAGAATCTATGGTCTATGTTTTTCTTTGTTGCTTTTTGCTCATGGTGTTTGCCTTTTTCCTGGCTTTTAAAGTTGATTTCTGCATCTGGGGCACAGGCAGCACTGTCCCATGCTTCTTGTGCTGGGGGGCTAGGGGTCTGGTTACTGGCTTTGTGTGCTGGGGCCTCAGGTGCTAGCAGCTGGAGGCTGTATGGGGTCCGGTAGTTTACCTCGTGCTGAGCTGGTGCTGGTGGTGGTGGCTGGTGTGTGTTGAGGCCAGGTGGGGTTTTTCTGTATTTCCGTGGGGTTACCTTGAAGCTTGTTGGGTGGGGGTGGGGGTGGGGGGGGTCTAACCACTGGAGGCTACCTCCTCTCCCGAGGCTGTGCTAGAGCATGGGTAGGTTCAGTGCATGTGGTGGTTCTCCACGCTGGCATCTACCAGTTCCCCTGGCTGTGCAAAGGCCAGAGGGGTGGGGTGTCCTCGTGTTGGCGTTTGCCTGCTCCACACCCTAGGGCTAGGGATCTGTGACTGGTTTGCTGAGGTGGGGCTTGCCACTGGCTTGCTGGGATGCTTCCTGTTCTGTACTGGTTCCCTTCAGCCACTGCAAGAGGAACCTTTCCCATCAATCCTCCTACTCTTATGAGCTAAAAGACTGCTGCACCCCATCTTTCTGCTGGCTCCACTGTTCCATGACTTTTTCTGGGGCAGTATTTCCTGGGTTTTTTGAGGTCAATAAGAGAGGGTGAGAATTACTCCACCATCTTGGCTCCTGGAAGTGTAGTAGGTGCTTAATAAGTGTTTATTTAATGAATAGTTGGTTTAAACATCCCACAAGTTTGGAGCACTACATGGAGGACTAGTGATTCTGGACAGCAGAATAAGAAATATCTGCCTCAAATGAAGCAAGATTAAAAAACTTATTTTTAGTTTGACAAATTAGAACTCTTTAATACTAATATTGGAAATTATACTCCATTGGGTACCAAGACATTAACATGAAGATAGTGCCATATATGGCACTCTTTTATTGGCTTCTCATACTTTTCATGACTATCTAAGGTGGGCATTTCCTCCAAGGTCCTCTCTTTGGTTCATTATTCTTTCTGCTCCTCCTTGGCTTCCTATTTTTCTTGGCCAACTCATTCATTCTCTTGGTTTTAGCTATGCACATGATTCCTGGTTAAATTTGTATTTCCAGTTGTATCTTTAACTGTATCTCAGCTAGGTGGCACAGTAAATAGAACACTGGTCCTGAAGCCAGAAAGCCCTGGGTTCAAGTTTAGCCTCAAATACTTATTAGCTATGTGACTTAATCTCTGATTGCCTCAGTATCTTCATCTGTAAAATGGGGATAATAATTGCACCTACTTTGCAGGGTTGTTGTGAGGATCAAATGTGATATTTTATGTAAAGTGCTTGGGATGCTATATAAATATTAGCTATTTATTATTATTATTCCTGACTTCTCCTTAATGTTAAAACTACATTTCTAAGTGCCCACAGAACATAAAGTATCTCACCAGCATATGAAAATGTTAAAAATCAGGCTCATTATTATTTTCCCTAAATTTACCCTTCTTTCTGACTTTACTATTTTTAATGTGGCAGATGCCCCCATTTGAAATCTTGGTGTAATCTTTGAATTCTGTCTTCTTCACTTCTCATGTTGACATTGCCAAGTCTTCTCAATTCTTTGTCCACAATACCTTTTACATCTGTCCCTCTCTATTCTCATTGCCATAATCCTAGTACAGACCCTCAATACTGGCCTGCTGAACTATTGTAATAGCCTTCTAATAAGTCTTCCACCTCCATTCTCTACTCCTAATTCATCCTTAATACTCTTTTCTATGTCATGGAACTCCTCTGCTCAAAAATTTTCAGTGATGCCCCAAAGCCCACAATGTTATGTTTGAACTCTTTTTGGCATTGGATTAGCATCAAAGGCCATAACCTGAAGGCATCCTTCCTTTACTGCATTTTCTCACATGATTCTGTTGCATATATCTATCCTGGCCACATTAGTCATTATCCTTCACAGACCTTCTCCCTTCTTGCTAAAAATTTTTAATGGTATCAAATGGTTAGAAACTAGAATCTGTGAGAAAAGACTAGAAGAGTTGGAATTCTGTAGCTAGGAGAAGTTAACCAGCTATTTTCCATCAACTCTAAAGATATATGAAAAAAAGAAAGATTACTTATTTTAGGAGATCCATTACTAATCAGGAAAAATTTTTTGATAGAATCCTTAAACATTAAAATGGTCTATTAAATGAGACTATAAAAGAAAGGAGAATTGAAATTTATTGTTGGTATATCAGAGAGGCTGATGACAGGCCAGCATAGTGAAGTGAAAGATAAAGTTAGAAAACATCAGAAAATATAGTAATCATAGAATGTGAAATTAATTATGAAAAATCCATTGAGGGAAACTCTGGCCATAGATTGTGGGTGGCAGAGATGGCTAACAGAGGAGACCAGAGAGAGGACTCACTTTAAAAATAGTTTTGACTTGTAAGACCCAAGCAAGGGTGCAATCTTGATAGTCACTTCATTAGTAGGGAATGTGTGAAGGCCTTGATAATGAAGAGTTGGTTGTTGGTTATGGCTTTCATTCTCTTCACCATTTTATACTCCATTGGGTATATCATTTTATGTTGGGCTAAGATAGCCTGCTGAGTTACATGTTACCAGTTAATAAAAAGAAAGAAAACAGACACATTTTAATAAGGATTATACAAAAAGACAATGTTGCTGAAGGTTTCAATAGCATGATGTAGCAAAAAAAAAAATGTGTTGCTGAAGAAAGACTAAATGATTCATTGACTAGAAATGTAGCTAGTCTGAACAAAGTAATGATGAAAAAGTTCTATCATTCATTCCTTCTCCAAGATCAAAGAAGCTACTGGTCACCAAGGGGTTCTCTTACTCAGTATGAATGCTTCATATCTTTGTTAGAAAATAACTGAACAAATCTGATTGAAGTAGGATGGCTTTGGATTGTCCCTAAATCCTAAACTTGTCTTTTGTTGCTGCCTTAGAAATGTTCAGAGTAAATTAGTACATAAAGTTTGCACATAGTGCTGTTACTGTAGCTGTTGGTGAAGTGATACTATCTAAAAATTTGAGGGAATGTCACAGAATAGTTTTAGGAAAAAAAGAAAGTGTTACTAAAGAGGAAGGGTGGAAGAAAGGATAGAATTTGGTCTTGGGGTCAGGAAGTCTCATTCTTACTAGCTGTGTGAACCTGGATAAAGTGTTTAAAGTCGTGCGCCCCAAATCATAGAAGAGTTGTGATCTGCTTGGTGGAGGGAGTTCCCACGCTGGGCAGATAGGATTATATAAGATAGACAATAATGGAGAGCTGTATTTTTACTTTAGTACACATCTTTGTTATTCAACTAAAGGGTCCCCTCCATTCTGTCTTGCTTTCTCTTTTTATCTAAGGTCCAGCACCTATTAAATAAAACTTTTCTGTCTGGTGTTTACTATTCTGTGCCTGGGCTCTATATATAGTGTTGTCAAGTGCTTGCTGAGTATTGTGGTTGTAAATCCCTTACAGCCTAGCCGACTTTTGACTCAATTATTCTGTTCTATGTTCCTGTTAATAGGATATCCATAACAAGAGTGACAGCTGACATTTCTCTTGCTAAGAGGTCTGTCCTAAATAATCCCAGCAAGAGGGCAATAATCGAGCGGTCAAACACACGATCCAGCTTAGGTAAGATGTTCAAATGTTCTGTTTTTACCCAAGCTGAGTTTTTAGATCAGAATGGCACATGCTGCTTTTATGAATGTCTTTCCTGACTCACCTGTTATTCGAATCATTGAACTATGCATAATGCCAGCACCTGAAAGGAAAGAAACACCTGCAGGATATAGAGCCAGTCAATTAGTTAATTAGTAGTCTAGTAGGAAGGGCCCTTGAGTTAGTTCAAATCTTAGAACAGTCTAAGAGGAACCACAGGAAGTCTCTCATCTCTTAGCCTTGCTGTGTCCCATTTCCCCCAACCTTTCAATGAAACTAATGATACCTATTCAATACCTAACTTACAGAGCAGATGGGAAATAAAATGAGTTGTAAAGTTCTGTTATATCCTTGGAAGAAAGACCAGATCATAAAGTATTCTTGATATCACTACTACTGCCAAATATGTATGTGTGTTTTGGTTCAAAACTATCTTTTGTTCGAAGTGGAAACTCCCTCCATTGATACAGATTGTCAGCTGATTAGTCATTTATAGTCTTAGAGAGTCATTTGAGTCACAGAGAGCTTAAGTGACTTGCCCAGGGTCACAAAACCATCATTTTTAAAAGCTTGGTATAGTAGATAGAGGGCTGGCCTAGGAGTCCTACAAAATGGGTTAAAATCCTACACTAGATGCTTTCAACCTATGTGGCCTTGGACAAGTGATTTAATTTTCTTGGGCCTCAGTTTCTTCATTTGAAAAATGAAGGAGCTCAACTAGACATCCTCTGAGGTCCCTTCAAGGTTTTTATTTATGACCTTATGCCTCCAAGCACAGCCATCCAACCCTTACACCATGGTGCCTCTCTATCAATTGTATGAGAACACTGAATGTTAATAAGAAAAACTTATTACTAGTATTCAAGGAATTTAAACATGTTTCCACATGTCATCAGTGTGATGATATCTGGGAAATCCATTTTTTTTAAATATAAGGTTTTAGTGATTAGGATCTTCATCCAGTATAACTGGCGTTGCCAAAGTCTGTGCCCTACTGTTCCTTTCTCTGATGAACAAGGTGAAACCCAGACCATAAACCAGTCCTGAGGGAACACATGAGTACTCTCTGAAATTATTGCTTAAAATTTGGTCTTCTCTGGCTCCAGCACTGAAGAAGCAAGGGGGACTCAATCTCAATTCTACAGACCATTCTCAGGAACTAAATGTGGTTTTAATCTTCATTGGTTTTGAGAGTTATATTCTTACAACCATCTGAACACTTCAGTAGTGAACAGCTAGTTGTCAGCATAGAAATATTTGAGGTCTTATTAATATATATGAAAGTGATAGTATGTTATGACATCACTTTCATTTTTGAGGTGAGATTTAACAGACAAATACATATCCTTATCTGAGACCATAACTGGGCTAAGTATCTGGTCACTTTGACTGGAAGGTGATGCTATAATTAAACTTTCCTTAGGACCTCTCAGCAGCTCTTATAACCAGGAGGCCCATGAAATGACTTTGATACTTTTATTTTAAGAATTTAGAAATTTAATTACGTATGCATCTGTATAATTCTCCTTCATACCTATAAAATGTAGATTTCTAAATGTGATTCTTGACTGGAACTGCTTCCTCCTCCTCCCCCTAGCCTCTTCTCTTACCATGTTCTCAACCTATGTATGCTTGTGTCATAATGAAACATTGACTAACTTAGTTATACATGGCCTTAGGAGATATTTGCCCCCTCTCATTGTCAACTAAGATGTAATGTTAGATAAACAGTCTGTGGATATCGGGACGGATAAGCAACAGAGTATACCTACTCTGGTACACACCACATCATTAATCTCTAAAGCTAATAGCTGAGGTGGCACAGTGGATGGTGCTGGTTTTGGAGTCAAGAAGTTTTTGTTGTTCAGTTGTGCCTGACTCTTTATGACCCCAGTTGGGATTTTCTTGGTAAAGATACTGGAGTGATTTGCCATTTCCTTCTACAGCTCATTTTACAGATGAGGAAACTGAGGCAAATAAGTTTAAGTGACTTGCCCAGGGTCACGCAGCTAGTGTCTGACGCCAAATTCAAGCTCTGATCTTCCTAAATCCAGACCTAGTGCTCTATCTGCTGTGCTACCTAACTGTCTTGTAGTCAGGAAGACCTGAGTTAAAATTTGCTTCAGATGCTTGCGAGCTGTGTGACCCTAGGTAAGCACTTAACCTCTCTCAGATTCAATTTCCTTGTCTGTAAACTGGGGATAATAATATCACCTACGTCATAGGGTTGTTTTGATGAGCAAATGAGATACCATATGAAAAGTGCTTTGCAAACCTTAGGGTGCTATATAAAGGCTAGCTATTATTGCTTTCATGCATTGAGTAAATAAGATTCCTGCATCACTGGATTGTTTACACAGAAGTGCCTCTGTGGAAGCCACTGCACTTAGCAAATATAAAGTTTGTGGCAACAGATTCAGCTTATGGTATTGCCTTTTGGTTGCTTCACATAAAGCTGTGTCAGGATTTACACCTTAAAATAAATATTTGAGGTACAAAATTAGATTTATTCTAACATAGTCTAACCACATGTCATACCTGCATAAGCCAGTGGGAGTATCATGCAAACAGCAAGTGGGAGACAAGGCCACATACCCTGAAGCTAACATGTAGAAAAAGGAATAGTTTTACTTCCTAATTTATCTTTTTTAAGAGTGGTCTCTTACTCTGTGGCATATCCATGAGTACTTATGAGAGCTCACATTTAAAATATGATAAAGAGACTATTATCAGATTTTTCTTTCTGGAGATGACCTAAGCTTATCATCTACCCTGGCAATTTGAAAAAGTAATTTTAAAAAAATTTAGATCTAAACCCCATTTAAGGGAAGTATTGTGAAAGACTTTGTGGTATAGTGGTGAAAATGCTGGACTCAGAGTCAGAAAGGTGTGGGTGACAGTTACACTTCAGACACTTATTAGCTATGTGACCCAGGGATCAATCACTTCATCTCTCTGAGCCCTCTCTGTAAAACGGGGGCAGTTGGACTCATCACCTTCTGAGGTCTAAATCTAGGACCCCATTCATATCAACATCACATTTTTTCCTCATAAGAACTTAAAATTGATATTGACTATGTATATGCATTACATAAGCAGATCTAGTTCTAAATTTGCCAGATAGTATTTCACCCCTGAAATAATATTGTCAGCTGGGCATGGTGGTGCATGACAGTACTTTCTGCTGCTAGGGAGACTGAGGCTGGTGATCTCGTGAGCTCTGAAGTTCTGAGCTAAAGTGGGTTAAAACTGATTGGGTGTCTACGCTGAGTCCAGCACCAATATGGTGAGCTCCCAGGAGCATGGGATCATCAAGCTAGTCAAGGACAGGAGCCACCAAGGCTGCCACAATGCTCTCACTAGTGGGATTGGGTCTAGGTGTGACAACTGCACTTCCAACATTAGGCATAATAACGGGGGAGCAGGAAAAAATATTTTGGTTTCACATCAACTTATTCGTGTATGCTAGATATTTTCTACAAGATACTATCAGCTTAGTACTTCTATACTGGGGATTTGGGAGGGGGTGAGGAGCAGAGCTATTAGGCCACACTTAGAGGTAAACATTCTGAAAAATTAATATTAATATAGACATGGCCCATGAGTTTATTTATTCATTTAATGCCTTTAAAGTGTAACACATTGTGATAGGTATTATGGGAAATGAAAAGATCATAATAATAATAGCTAGCATTTATATAGTACTTTGTTTTACAAAACTGCTTTACAAATATCATCTCTTTTGATCCTTCCAACAACCCTGAGGTAGGTGTTATTATTATCCTCATTTGACAGATGAGGAAACTAAGGCCAATAGAGACTATGTGACTTGCCCAGGGTCACACAGATAGTGTGAAGCAGGTTTCAACTTCAAATCTTCTTGAGTCCAGGTCTAGCACTCTTTTTTACTGTATCATCTAGATTAATAAGACAGGGTCTGACTTGTCAAAGAACTTATTCCTTAGAAAGGGCAATATGAAATGTACACAGATACAAAGTAGAATGGGGTAAGTGCACGATGGAAATAGAAGATGCTCTGCCAAATTTCTGTATTTTACATAAAGCCATTTTGTTCATTTATAAACAATGTTCTACTGTTTTTGAGAAATATCAATCAATTAATCAAACATTTATTAAACACCTACTGTATACTAGGCACTGTGCTAAGTGCTAAGCATACAAAAAGGAGCAAAAGACAGTCCCTGCCCTCAAGGAGTTTACAATCTAAACATCTGGATTGTTTAGTAATTCCCACATTTTAGATCTGGTTAATTTGAAAAATAACCAGGTTTTTCACTTGGCTAGATTTTAAATCATAGATTTAGAGCTAGAAGTGATCTTAGAGACCATTTAGTTCAGTCCCCTCATTTTACAGATTTGAGAAACTGAGGCTTATTCTTCGGTTGATAAATGGTCAAAGCATATGAACAGGCAGCTTTCAAATGAAGAAATCAAATCTATCTATAGGCATATGAAGAAGTGCTCTAAATTACTTTTGATTAGAGAAATCCAAATTAAGACAACTCTGAGATGCCACCACACACCCATCAGATTGGCTAAATGAAAAAAAAAAGGAAAATAATAAATGTTGGAGAGGATGTGGGAAAATTGAGACACTGATGCACTGTTGGTGGAGTTGTGAACTGATCTAGCCATTCTGGAGAGCAATTTGGAATTATGCCCAAAGAGCAACCAAATTGTGTATACCCTTTGAACCAGTAATACCACTACGAGGCTTGTATCCTAAAGAGATCATAAAAAAGAAAAGGACCTACATGTGCAAATACATACACACATACACACACACACACACACACACACACACATGTCTCAATCAGCCCTTTTCTTGGTGGCAAAATATTAGAAATTGAGAGCATGCCTATCAATTGGAGAATGGCTGAACAAGCTGTATATAGTATGTGAATGTAATAGAATACTATTGTGCAATAAGAAATTATGAATAGGCAGATTTCACAAAATCCTGGAAAGACATGTATGAACTGATACAAAGCAAAATGAGCAGAACCAGGAAAATATTGTACATAGTATCAGCAACATCTTGTGATGATCAACATTGATGACTCAACTCTTCTCAGCAACACAGTGATCCAAGACAGGTATAAAGGACTCACGAAGGAAAATGCTATCCATATCCAGATAAAGAACTGATAGACTCTGATGCAGATTGAAGTATATTTTTTTCACTTACCTTATTATCTCGTGGTTTTTAAAAAAATGTTGATTTGTTTCTTCTTTTACAACTGTGACTAATATGGAAATTTTTTTTTATATAATAGCACATGTATGAACTATGTCAAACTACCTGCCATTTTCAGAAGAGGGGAGGGGAGGGAGGGAGAAAAATCTGGAACTCAAAATCTTGTAGAAATGAATGATAAAAATTTTCTTGACATATAACTAGGGGAAAAATAAAATACTATTAAACTTTTTAAAAAAGAAACTGAGGCTTGGGGAAGTGTGAAGATTTGAACCCTGATCTCTGACTTCCAAACCAATATTACCTCTGCTATACCATTTTACCTCCGTTTACATACTGTTTCCTCTCATGTGGTAGTAAGTCTGTTGAATGAGTTATAAAATAATAGGCAGATAGGAAAAGTGTAAAATGTCCTAGCATATATTGTTGCCCAGTTGGCTAGTTGAGAATGCTTCTTCTGAAAGTAAGAACTAATAAATGGGAATGGCTTTAACCTGTTGTTTCCGTTTCTCTTCTTAGCTGAAGTACAAAGTGAGATTGAAAGAATCTTTGAGTTGGCAAGATCCTTGCAACTGGTTGTCCTTGATGCAGATACTATCAACCACCCAGCACAACTTATAAAGACTTCCTTAGCACCAATTATTGTCCATGTTAAAGTTTCATCTCCAAAGGTAATTAGGTAATTTCTTTATCTAGGACAAAGCCTGGAGTCTGTAAACATATTTCTGAAATATTTTAATAACTGTATTTCAATACAATTGGATTCCTTTGCAATCTAATGGATGTTATTTTGTGCATTTAAAAACATTATTCTGAAAAGAGGTCTGTAGACTTCACCAGACTGCTGGGGGTGAGGGAGTAAAGTTTAAAAACTACTTAACTAGGAGAAAAGGAGTTTTCTTTAGAAATAACCTCTTCCCAGAATTTCTTATGGACAAAGAAGATCTATTATTTCCCAAGATATAGTTAGTGATTATATATTGAAAACCCAAAATGTGTAAATCTTAGGTACTTCAGGATATCAGTAAAACAATGGTATCTTAGATAAATAATCTACACCAAAATGTAATAGATGGATGAATAGACAGATGATAGATGGGTAGATAGATGGATGATGGATAAAATAGATAAAATGTATAGATCAAGATACACATATGCACATATGTACCCAGCAGTTACCAAAAAGAACTTGGAAAGAGTAGGTGGCTCCGAGACATTGCTGGCTCATTGTTCAGCTCTTCAAAAATCTTCCTGTGACCTACGTTTACTCTGCAAATGGTAGAATATCTAGTTAAATAAGTGAATCTGTGCCTCACAATTATATAAAATCAAAGAAAATACAGTGTTTGACTATCTGTTCTAGAAAGGATCCAGAACTTCAATTTTACATTTTAATAAAGTCTTTGAGGAACATAGTTGACCAGGATCTTAGTACATTGCCATATTTTGATGACAACTGAAATGTTAGCAGGAGCTAGGAGAATCTTAGAGTCAAAAATTTACATCTTTTGGATTGATATTTTTTCTCCTTTAAAAAAAAGATAGTACTGTAAAAAAATGAGACATTGTTTTGTGTTCTTGTGTGAAACTTAGAGGTGTAGATCATTAGACTTCTGGAAAGGGCTATTTGAGAGATAACTCTTCCATTAGGTATTATTATTGCCTGATGTATTCCAACATAACAGTTTAAATTGTACTGACCCAAGTCAGGAAATGACCAACAGTAAATGTTGTAAATCCTCTAATTACATTTGAGATTTTATTGTGCTCAGGTGAACCTAGCAAAACTGAGTTTTTAAAGCCATTGCCCTATACAGGCTCTGCCCAATTATGTGTACATGTTTAGATGTCCATCTCCGAGTGTAAACTATTATTTAGTTTAGGGGTCACATTGGCACACTTGTGATTTGAGCCTCTATTCAGAGATAGTGCCTTAAGTATCTTCAGCGTAAAAGGAAACAAAAATAAGAAGTTATGTCTTTAAAAACAAAGATAGTAAAATCTGCTCTGGTTATTAAAAGGAATGCTAAATCATATGTTATTTTAGCATTCTTCTTGAGTGAAAGAAAAATTTCACCTGATTTAAAAATGAAAAAATATGCCTATGTATAAATCCTGTATGGCACCTTTTTTTTTTGTTCCATCTCTTATTTGACTCCTCATTGGGTGAATCTCCATAGATAATGTTTGCAAATTTCTAAAAGCTTCTTCCTAATCTTTATTCTTCCCATGTTACTATATCTTGCACACAACAGACTTTTTGTATCAAATAGCATTCTGTCTCTTGTTTAACATCCTCAGCTCATGGCTCAGGAGACCTAGCATATATCTACACATTCTGTCTCTCTAATACCACCTCCAAAGCCTAGTGGTTTCATCCATATGGCAATGAGTACCAAGTTAAAAGCTAATAATTATATTCCCACACTTCTCAGTCTTCAAGCTACTAATGAGATATGAGTTTGAATAGATAGAAAAGAAAATTCTGATTCTAATGTATGTATCTACTTTTAAAACATTTTTCATATTCTTACCTATAGTTCATATTGCAGTCATAGAAGTATAGTTTTTCCACATGTGTACCATAAAAAATGCAAATATTTTAACTCAAGGAAAAAAATGTATTATTTTACTCAGCTGCCAAAGAATTGTAAAATTCTAATGAAACACACAGGAATCAGGGATAGCATTTACTATTTAAAAAAAGAAAAAAGAAAAAGGATTCCTTAGCCAAAGAGATCCAAGATTTTTCAATAGTGAACCATATGGTCTAAAATCCATATGTGTGAGGGCTACATGATTTGGGTCTCACCCCACACACACACACCTTACTAATTACTTCAAGCCTACGAACATGGTACCTAATGGCAACTGACTGACAAAAGTGATAATGATGGGCAGGTAGTTAGGCTGGACAGGCTTATGAATTTGTCTGTGACTCCTAATCAGATAAACAATTTTCTTTCTAAAAATTCAGGTAGGCTACATTTGACATAGGTTTCACATGTTAGACACCCAGGCTTTTGTCCTTTATCCAGTCCAGTTTCCCTTCCCAGCTAGCAAAAGTGGGATCCCATCCAAGATTTCTCAAAAAAAAAAATTGTGTGACTGACTACAAACAAATAAGCAGTACTATTGGAATGAATTGATCCATGTACACAGGATGCCAAATTTCCTACTACCACTTCATCAAGGTCCCAACTGGGACCTCTCTCTAGCTCCAAACACCACTTAATCCTTCTTAAGGGATGTCATCACCTTGCACACTTCATATTACCTGGGTTAAAATCTATTTGTCTTACTTAAATTTACAGCCATAACATAGAGTTCCACTGGAATGTTTCAATAATTATCAGAGATAAGAGAAACAAACACTAAGCCCTTTGGGATGATTGCCTGGTATAAAGATAACCATCAAAAATGTTGCACAAATGAAACAATCTAAAGTGCATATTGTGCAAGTGTGTGTTCGTTTCCCAGTTGCTCTTTCACCATTTCAAAGCACCCTCTAAAATGAAGGGATGTCAGCAGTGAATAGAAACTTCAGAACAGATTAAGAATTAGTTGCAATATAAACCAGAAGTCTCTCAAAGTAGAAAAGATTGTACCTCATTTCGCGTGTGTTATTTCATTTTCTGTCATATTTGGAATCAAAGCAACAAGACCTGATTCTGTTTTTATCTTTGACAAACTTCTCCATAATAACTCTAAGATTTATGTGTTTTTCTGCCAGGTTTTGCAACGGCTGATTAAGTCTAGAGGAAAGTCCCAAAGTAAACACTTAAATGTCCAGTTGGTGGCAGCTGATAAACTTGCACAATGCCCCCCAGTAAGTACAATTTTTTTCTTAATTATTCCTGACTGGTGCATTTCATGCTGTCCACATTTGGGATGTTTTTCTGTAGACTAAATTGGTTTTTAAAAATCTATTAGCCTGGTGGTAGCCATGATGGGCATGGACACAGGTTGGTCACTTATTGGTTGGTGTGTTTGTCTTCTCAGTGACATACAAGCATCTCTGTGGTGAATTAAATATGGCACGCACTAGGCTTGGAGTCATGTACTATCCCTTCTTGATTTCCCTACCTTGAGTACTTTTGTTAACTTTTAAGGAAATCACTTGATTCCAGAATGGAGATACTTGTAAGAAAAAGCAAAACCCAGCTGACTTTCTTTCAACTCTCCTGCCAAGAAATCTTGGCAGGCATTAAAGACTATAGAGGTAGGAAGCCAGAGTGCAGTAGAGCAGAGGGCAGCCCTATGGGTATCAGTGACATTGAATCAGAGCCTTGTGGGGCCAGAGCCACATGGTTACAAATTTGCCAGCAAAAATGACTGCTTTGGAAAGGACTGAGCAGATTAGGAAGACCTAGCTTGGCCACATGCCATGTATTCTCAGCCCTGGCAAACCAGTGCCCACCTACATGTTTGCCAGTTTCTTTGTACTTCAGTTCCTTCAAGCTGTAAAAGAGAATGATAAACCTTCTATATATATCCTTGGATGGCCATGCAGCTTTCACAGGAACACATACCTCATTGCCCTTGATAATCCTATGCAACACTCCCTTCTCTTCCTTTCCCCAATCTTTCCCATTGTCATCTAAACCCAAGCAGAGTTCAGAAAATGCCTGATTTAGATAAGTGGCATGAGAACCACTTTTTTCAATCAGCTTGTCATCGTGACTCTTTTGTACCAACTATTAGTCCCCAGACAAAGCTTATTATGTGGCAGATGCTGACCAGTTTCCCACTTGCCCCAGCTTTAATGGTATTTTCTCCCAACTCCTTCCCTCATGCTAGCAGAGTCCAACATACATATTGACTCTCCCTCAAAACTCTACCCACTCAGTTCCTCAGATTACTCATGTCCTTTGAGCTACTCCTCTGCCCCACCTTGGTTACACACAAAGATAGTCACATACAAATGCATCACCTCTTTGTTCAAGAATTCTGAAATCCCCTTATCCAACCACAATTTATTAACTTTTCACTTTCCTCTCAGCCTTCCCTTATAAAACCCAACTTCATTTACATTGTGACCTCCAATCCCTTAACCCTTCAGTTCTCTCCCAGACCATCTTCCTTACGCTAGCCACTTTCCCCTCTTCTCGCCTTGGTGAACCAATTCATCTCTACACCATCCTCCTCTCTTGAATCCCTAACCCCCTTATTATATTGCCGATTACAACCAGCCACTCCTCTGCCTTGGATCACTCTCACTTTCCTTGCCTTTGCTCCTACACTTGTGCTACTGAATGAAGATAGAAAAAATCATGCAACCTTTCCAACTGGGTCCACTACAAATTTATGTTGCACAGTCTTAACTGGGCCCTAACAGCTGCTAGGTATTTGTACTATACCTCCTTTATCAGCTTGCCGTCTCATTCTCCACAGTGGCTTTTCCAAATCTTTTCATCCTTCTGCAAACCTTCCATGGCTTCCCCTCCCCCATCCTGTCATCTGAGAACCTTGCCTCATATTTTACAGAAAAAATTGAGGCCATTTGCTATGAGCTCCCTCTCCTCCTCTCGGCTTTGTCTCCTGTCACTCAGTTGCCTTCTGCCAACTGTCTCTTTCTGAAATGGGTCTTGACTTCAAGATACTTTTAATCTTGTAGGGGTGCCAAGGCTTGCATATAAAATAGGTAATATTCAGAAAAGCCCTAAATGAAACTTAATCAAATCAAGTACCTGAAATTCTAGAATTTCTTATTAAAGGGATGATTAGTAAACATCTAGGAAAGGACGTAATAATTACAGAGACCCAACATGGCTTCATCAAGAACAGGTTATGGGGGCAGCTAGGTGGCACAGTGGATAGAACATTGGCCCTGGAGTCAGGATGGACCTGAGTTCAAATCTGGCCTCAGACACATAACACTTACTAGCTGTGTAACTCTGGTCAAGTCACTTAACCCCAAAAAAAGAACAGGTTATGCCAGTCTCATCACATTTCATTGTTGGACAGGGTTGCTAGACTGGTAGATCAGGGTCATATTGTAGATAAACCATACCTATACTTTGGCAGAACATTTGATAAAGCCTGTTGTGTTTTTCTTATGAGGGTGATGGATAGATTTAGGTTAAACAGTAGTACAATTAGACAGTTTAAGAGTTTGTTGAATGATTTCCTAACTTGGAAGGAGTGCTTCAGGCATCTGTGCTTCACCTTGTGCTATTATTTTTTAATCTTTTTTTTCCCCCAAGGAGTTGTGATTTCTTTGGTGTAAGGAATTTCTTTGTGATGAAACTCCTTCTACTAATGCAGATTATCAACTGATCTATGACTTAGAATCTTAAAGAATTGCTTCACTGTCGCTGACAAATTAAATGACTCGCCCAGGGTAAAACAGCCAGTACATGTCCAAAGCAGCACCAGAACCTACGTCTTTCTAACTTCTCAGGCTTTCCATCTACTGTGCCATGTCATCTCACCTGTGAATAGAGGCATAGATATCATGCCTATAAATTTGCAGATGACACAAAGTTCAAAAGCCTAGCTAATACACATCAGATTATGGTGTCAAAAATGGTCAAAAAATCTCAGATTTGTAAGAGTACTCAGAGCCATTTAATCCACACCATACTTGAGTGCGAATATTCCTTCAGCCTACCCAGCCAAGTGATCATCTTGATTCTGCTTGATATCAGGATACAAAATGAGACCAGGTCTTCTTAACCTTTTCATGTCATTGGACCCCTTTGGCAGTGCTGTGAAGCCTACAAACAAACCCTTTCTCAGAAACATGTTTTTAAATGCATAAAACAACATACATAGGATTTCAAGGGAAATTAACTACATTGCAATACAGTTATAAAAATTCTTTTAAAAAAAGTTTATGGATCCCAGGTTAAGAATTCTTGCTCAGAGATATTGGACTGAATCTAAGAAGATGATGTTAAGTGGAGATAGGCTGCATTGAGAAGTGTGGTGTGCAGAGCTGGGGAGGCAAGAGTTACTGCAATATACTCTAATCAAACTACTGGAAAATTTTGTTCAGTTCTCCTTCATGGAAGGAGAATTACAGTCTGGAGAGTAGGCCAACCTGCTCTCTAGCTTATCAACAGAACAAGTCAACCATGATTTAGAAGAAGCTTTAACTTGAAACTATATAAGGATGGATTGAAGGAACTGAAATGTGAGTTTGAGTTAGGAGCCATGATCACTGTCTTTAAGAAGTTGAAGGTCTTTCATGTAGAAGAGATATTCTACTGTTTTCTAGGCTCCTAGGAGCCGTAGCTGACAGGAGTATGTTTAGGCTTAACATATGGAAATAATTCCTATGAATTAGAATAGTCTAAAATTGGAATGGGCTACTTTAGGAGGTAAAAGGTTCCCCTTCATTGGACAACCAATATGGAATTTGTGGGGTGTATTGTAGAGAGGATTTTTGTTCAGATTACAAATTGGACTAGATGGACTTTGTGGTCCCTTCTATTTCCAATGTGGATTTTTTTTTATTGTTCATAATCTATTATTTTATGTCAGGAACTCCCAATTTGAAAATTCCCTCCACTGATGTAGGTTGGCAACTCTTCATTTACTTCTAGTGCTAGTGTATTGTCCCCCACCCAGCTCTCAAGTGGCTTACGTAGTACTGGGGGAAATAGAACATGTAATCAGCTAAGTATACACCATTATAATGTGGAGGGAAAGAGAACAACTAACAAATGAGACCAAGAAAGGCTTTTAGTTGGAGACGTTAAAAGAGCAGAACCTTCAAGGGAGGTAGGGGTTTTTCAAAACAAACAAACCAAAAGATGTAGACGTAGCGTGTGTCAGTCATGGAAGATAGCCTTTTGTGAAGACAGAGAGGTGGAAGACAGAATTGAGCTATGAGTAATAGTCATAGTTATAAAATATTTTCATCGTGAGGTTTTTATGATGGCTATAAACCAAAAGGTTTAGTCGACCCGATTTATTATGACTTATTTTTTTTTAGATTGTTAACTTTTATAATTTTCCAATATTTACCTTTTTTACTTGAAGTTTTGAGTTCTGAATGCTATCTCTCCGCCTGCCCCTGAGACAGTAAACAATTAGATATAGGTTATACATGTGCAGTTATGTAAAACATTTCCATATTAGTCATTTTGTATAAGAAGACTTGATTGAAAGAAAAAAAATGAAAGAAAGAAAGTGAAAATAGCATGCTTCAGTATGTATTCCATCAATGTCAGTTCTTTCTCTAGAGGCAGATAGTATGCTTCATCATCAGGCCTTTGAGATTGTCTTGGGTCATTGCATTGCTGAGAATAGCTAAGTCATTCACAGTTCTTCATCAAACAATATTGTTGTTACTATGTACAATGTTTTCCTGGTTCTGTTGACTTCACTGTTCATCAGTCCATGTAAGTCTTTCCAGGTTTTTCTGAAGTCATCCTGCTTGTCATTTTTTAAAGCACAATAATACTCTATTACAACCACATACCACAGTTTGTTCAGCCATTAACTGAGAGGATGGGTATCCTCTCAATTTCCAATTCTTAGCAACCACAAAAAGAGCTACTAAAATAGTTTTGTACAAATAGGTCTTTTTCCCTTTTTTCTGGATATCTTTGAGATGTAGACCTAGCAGTGGTATTTCTGGATCAGAGGGTATGCACAGTTTGGTTGCTCTTTGGGCACAGTTCCAAATTGCTCTCCAGAATGGTTGGATCAGTTCACAACTCTACCAACGAGGTGCGTTAATGTCTTTGTTTTCCCCACATCTTCTCTAACATATATCATTTTCCTTTTTCTGTCATATTAACCACTCTGATAAGTGTGAGATGGTAACTCAGAGTTGTTTTAATTTTCATTTCTCTGATCAGTAGTGATCTAGAGCAT